CACAGTGACAGTGTACCAATTGTTGGGATGGTTACACAGTGACAGTGCACCAATTGTTGGGATGGTTACACAGTGACAGTGGTCCAATTGTTGGGATGGTTACACAGTGACAGTGTTCCAATTGTTGGGATGGTTACACAGTGACAGTGTTCCAATTGTTGGGATGGTTACACAGTGACAGTGCACCAATTGTTGGGATGGTTACACAGTGACAATGTACCAATTGTTGGGATGGTTACACAGTGACAGTGCACCAATTGTTGGGATGGTTACACAGTGACAGTGTTCCAATTGTTGGGATGGTTACACAGTGACAGTGTACCAATTGTTGGGATGGTTACACAGTGACAGTGTACCAATTGTTGGGATGGTTACACAGTGACAGTGTACCAATTGTTGGGATGGTTACACAGTGACAGTGTTCCAATTGTTGGGATGGTTACACAGTGACAATGCACCAATTGTTGGGATGGTTACACAGTGACAGTGCACCAGTTGTTTGTAATTTTTCTTTCATTTGTATTCGAACGACATTTTTTTTGTGGAGGGATTGTCTTTATTGAAATGAAGTGTGCACTTAACGTGCATACAGGTTTGGCTGTCCCTGAGGCTGGATTCTATTTAGATCGCATTTTGTCTAGAGTCCACTGTCCTTTCTGCCCACTTGGCTGCTGACCATTTCCTGTGGTAAACTCTGCATGTAGTTTGATTTGAGTACAGTATAGTTACAATCCACTGAGGTTAGCTCACCAGGACTAGACACTGAACACTAGATTCTTTCTTTACCTTCAGACCCTGAGGATTCAGTGTATGAATGCAGCACTAATCATTAATAAAACCTCTATGGAATTGGGTTGGGAGGGAGAATGCATTACAGTGGGGACAAATCTCTGTCAACAGTTGAGTTGTAATTCTGTGGCTGTGATTGAGTTCGTTTGGGACTGTTCACAGACAAATTTATTAGGTTTGTAAAAGGGTGAAAGTTGTGGAATCTGTACATGCCAAAATAAGTTAAACTTAGTAGAGGTGGATTGATGTTATGGAGAAAATGTTTAAATGACAGGTGGTGGGATACCAGGGGAAGGATGGAGGGAATGTAGGGGAGATCCTGGTCAAGATATTGTGTGTTAATTTGCCCCTTGGTGATGTGCATCAACCATACTTTGCCAGGTCGACTACTGGATCGATAAGCCCATGGAGAAATAATGTTTTTCTTTTATTAAAGAACATCACTTAAAAAAATCAAACCCAGGAACTGAACAATACATTTTGTAACTTTGTGTACTCTTGGAGCTCAAATGTGACTCTGGACTTTTGTACAAACATCTGAGTTGAACATTGTAGACATTACAGGATCAGTTGATATGCTCCTTGTATTGAACAGCTGAGTTCAGGTCGATACGCCCCACTCTCAGTTGTGTACACTAAACATTGGGTCACATGTCATTCCAGGAACTGAAATTTTAAAACAGAATCAGCTGCAGCAGGAACTAGTATTTTTGTAGAATATCATAGAATGGTGACAGGGCAGAACTGATAGTTTCACCCACATATTTCAACACTGATTGCCTGTAACCACCTCAGCCACCACTGCTAGCTCTACACTTGTCCAAGGCATTTGGGCTATCAAGAATCAATTTCATTCTTAAAGTTGTTAAAATTAAAACAAAATTAAGATTGTATTTCATCTTTTTTGTTCTCTCTGTGGTAACCTAATTCTGTTGCTTCTGCTGAATCATTCAGTTGTGTTTCAGATCTCCTAAGCAATCACAGTACAGCTGATTATTCACTTGAAGCCTCCTCACCTTCAGATCATTCATGCCAGACCTTGCTTCCTGTGGACATTCTCCCCTATCTCAGAGAGCTCTAGGTTTTAATTTGGTGCTTTACACTGCCCTCTGGAGAGCAATTTGGGAACTTCTGAGAAGCAGCTTTCTAAACATCCAACTTCTCAAAGTGAAAGATGGCTGTGGGCAATCTCAGTGGTCTTCATAAAGTATCAAGCATACAATGCAGTTCTTAAGTTAAAATCTTTGGTTTATTAAGTACGATCTTACCTAACTATTCCACTTATTGTAATAAAAATCTTTTACTAACTGCAACGAAAAGGGCAAATGGGACTTGAACCTGGGGCTCCTGTCCCAGAGGTAAACACACTCCCACAGTGCCACAAGAGGCCATCAAAGTATTCTTTAATTGACCTATTCCAACACATCTCCAGGTCAAGTCAGGTTTGAACCTGGGCCTGTGGCCTAGAAGGTACTCTACCACTGCACCATGTTAAGCTTTAATGAAGAGATGATTAGAATTGGTGTTTTGACCAAATGCAGTAAACTTTCTCCTCCCAAAAATATCACAGCAGTGTGGGTGACCATGTAGCTAGAGAATTGCACCTGAGGGCCCCTCCCAAGCATTGATAATGAGCAGTGCTCTGTCTCTTTAACCTAAATACCTAAAGCAATTTCTACTTGCATTCTCACCCTACTCTGAAATGCTACACTTAAATCTTGCTCTTAGATAAACATCTCTTGGTTTCTTATGGGGAGAAACCATGGAATGGTGAAACTAAGCGCTGCAGTATGTTCCGTCTGAATAGGCCAAATGATCTCTCTCACCAAAGGTTAAAGGATTTTCCTTCTCAGTAATAATTCTTTCATGGGTCAGGATTCCCTGCACTGTATGGCCTGTGAATGTTGTTAAGGTCAGAATGTTATTATTCATCCTTAAGTGCCTTTGAGAGGGTGATAGTGAGCTGTTGTCTTGAATTCCTGCAGTCCACCTCATTTAGGCACAATACTGTTACAGATGGAATTGTGGGGAGGTGATGGCCAAGTGGTATTATTGCTAGACTATTAATCCAGAGACCCTGGTAATTTTCTGGGGACCTGAGTTTGAATCCTGCCAAGGCACATGGTGGAATTTGAATTCAATAAATATCTGGAATTAGGAGTCTAATGATGGCCATGAAACCATTGTTCATTGTCAGGAAAAACACATCTGGTTCACTAATATCTTTAGGGAAGGAAACTGCCTACTGCCTGGTCTGGCCTACATGTGACTCCCAACCTGCAGCAATGTGGTTGACACCTAATGTAATTAGGGGTGGGTAATAAATGCTGGCCTGGCCAGTGAAACCCATATCCCATGAATTAATTAAAAAAAACAGGATTTTGACCCACAGACCCAGTGCAGGAGTGGCAATGTAGTTCCAGGTTGGGATGGTGTGTGATTTGCATGGAGATCTTGGATGTAATGGTGTTCCCATTTACATACTGACCTTGATCTTCTCACTGATAACTGAGTGAGTAAAGCTCAGGAAATACGTGTCTCTTCCCTTCTTTTAAGTGACGAATAGTAATTAAACTTTGTCATCTATGCTTTTATATCTTGTGAATCTCTGTTGCAGTTTTTCCACAATTCCAGCGTACTTTCTGCGGTGTGGTGCAAAAAAATCATATCATGAATGTCTCAGATGCTGGACTGCAATATTTCAGTAGACAGTAATTGAAGGAAGTTCCTTTTTCTAAAGTAACTTTCTAACTGACCAATATATTCCCTTATTTCAGGCTACTACCGTACAGAAAGAGACAAAGGGACCTTGTATGAACTATTCTACAAAAAAGAATTTCTGGATGAATTTCAACATGTCACACTCTTCCGTCCCTTTGGGCCACTCATGAAAGTCAAAAGTGAAACAATCGATGTCTCGCACCAGATCATCAATATAATTGTGCCTCTGTCCGGCCGCACTGAGGCGTTTGCCCAGTTCATGCAGAATTTCAGGTAGAAGCGCTGTGAAAGGGCGCAGTCAAAATCTAACCAACGTTCGTTTTAGCCCCTCTCCTCAGTTGGGGTTTGTGGGTACTGTATGGAGATTAGAAAAGCAGACATTGCTTTGTCTGCTAATTCGAGGGAGGCATCAACTCTTTTATTGTAAACAGGTTAAATCTTCAACTAAAATTGCAAAGTAATTTCATGTAATCAGTTTCCGCAGTAAAACCTTAAAGGCATATGCCTGTGTTCTTGGTGCCATTGTGTTTCTTAAAACTGACACTCTGCCCAGTGTCCAGCTTACCCACATTTAAGCACCCAGGTTTTTACCAAAATACCCATGTTTCCAATTGTTGTTTTACACAGAGATGTGTGCATTCGCCAGGATGGACACGTTTATCTCACGGTCGTCTACTTTGGCCATGAAGGGTTAGGTGAAGTGAAGAAGATCCTGGAAATGACTGCCAGGTGAGCCATAAAAAAGAATAAGTATTTAGGCAGTTCAGGACAGTGGGATAGCACTGCACTGAGTCACGCATACAGGTTTGTATTTGCAGTGCCCTCAGATTGAGTTGGATTGGGTTACTTGTAATCATTTCTTATCCTTGTTTTCAAATTCCTCCTTGGCCTGCCTATCTCTGTGACCTCTTCCAGTCCTGCAACCTTGCAAGACACGTCTGTTTCTCCAATTCCAGCCTCATGTGTATCCCTGATCCTATTTCACAGAATCATAGGACGCCTACAAGTGTGGAAGCAAACCATTTGGCCCATCGAGTCCACACCGACCCTCTCCGAAGAGCATCCCACCCAGACCCAACCCCCACCCCCATCCCTGTAACCCTGCATTTCCCATGGCTATCCCACCTAGCCTACACTATGGGCAATTTAGCATGGCCGATCTACCTAACCTGCACATCTTTGGACTGTGGGAGGAAACTGGACAACCCAGAGGAAACCCACACAGACACAGTGAGAATGTGCAAACTGCACACAGACAATCGCCTGAGGGTGGAATCGAACCCAGGTCCCTACTGCTGTGGAGCAACAGTGCTAACCACTGTGCCACCCACATTTTTTCCATCATCAGTTACCATACCTTCAGCTATGCAGCCCCGACCTCTAGAATTCCTTTGTTAGCCCCTTCCACTTCTCTGTCCTCCTTTAACCCACTCCCTTAAAGCTACCCTTTTACCAAGCATTTGGTCATCTATCCTAATACCTCTTTATGTGGCTTGGTGTGAAATTGTTTTTGGTAACGTATCTGTGAAGTGCATTGTGATTTTTTTTTTACTGCACCAAAGGCACAATGCAAATTGGATTTGTTAATACAGCCTTCATTACATTAAAACTGGAAGTGCTAAATCACTGGAATAAAAGATTTTCTTTCTGTGCAGTGAAACTAATTTTCACAACTACACTCTGGTTCCTTTGGTTGATGAATTTTCTCGTGGACGTGGCCTGGATATGGGAGCCCGGGCCTGGGAGAAGGGCGAGGCGCTGATGTTTTTCTGTGATGTGGATATTTATATATCTCCTGAGTTTCTTAACAGCTGTCGGATAAACACAGAGCCTGGTGAGTTATTGACTGTTTTGAGTTTTAAGAAGGATCATTGTGATGATTATATACGGTGAGGTTGAAGAGAGTATTCTGAATGAATCTCCTTGCATGCCTCTCCTCAACGTAATAAGCCCTTAAAAGAACAGACTAAATGGCTGTATGCCAGTAGGGATATCTTGCTCAGCACAGGATAGTTCCTTAATTTATCTCCTTGTAAACTATGCACGTCAAAGGTGCTATGCAAACGTAAGTCTTTATTTCACATCTAATGCTGAGCTGCTTCAACCACTCATTTCTGTACCTTTTGTGTACCGCAAAGCTCTGTGTTTTTGGTGTGGAATCAATGGGCAGAATTGCTCATTCAGTGCTCTACTGTTTTTATAGCAACAATAATTTGCATTTATGTAAAATTTGTCACTTAAATCATGTATTAAATCATGTATCTCTCTACTAGCCATTTGTCAACATAGCATGCTGTTCAGTTTTGGAAGCTGAGCTGCTGGACCCTTACAGTCTGAGAGTCTTAGTTAGACCACGAGAGATCTGTGTATCTATCTGTATGGGATTGATTTGTGCTGTTTCAACCCAGATTCATTTTATATCTCACCATGCTGTTGTTGTACACCTTTGGAAACTCTGAAAACTGCAGTCTTACAAAAGATAGGTTGCATGTGTAGCTGCACACATGGATCATTACCTGCCATTTTTTATGTTGCATTACTGTGTTTGAAACAGTGCCTCCTGACATAATTTCATTTTTACCTGTCTCTTATCTGCAGCATTTAATAAACTTGTGGTCTTTCCACAGGTAAGAAAGTTTTCTACCCTGTTGTGTTCAGCTTGTACAATCCAGCTATTGTCTATGCCAATCTGGATGGCACCCCATCCATTGAGCAACAGCTGGTGAGTGGTTTTTTTCAGATGATACAGCTTATTAATTATCTTCTTTTAAATCACATGTGTATATGTTTCATTATGTATTAGCACTTTACATCTTCACAATCTCACTTAAGGAACTCATAGTTAGAGAAGTTCAAAGGTTGGCACAGATGTGGACTAGGGGAGGGGCTAGTCTTGTTGCCCTATTGGAGGTGTTGACTTTCAAGTGAGACTGGCTATAAACGTGGTCACATCAACTTTTTCAGATAGTCGTGGTGGATGTTAAAGATCATTTGAAGACAAGGCGGAGGTTGGCCAACATTCCTCCCTCAGCTCAACATCTGTGGAAAAAATGGATGAACTGCTTGCTTATGCCTTTGTTGTTTGTGGTATTGTCATGCACCAAAAAACCAAAACATTTGTCACATAACGCCTGTGTAGCTGCATTTGAAGGCAACTTACTATATTGACATGCCTTGTCGTATTTCCCTTGGATCTGAAAAATGTATAATATAGAGATGTACATTACCCTGTTCTCCCTCCTGCCTTTCCAATATGCTCTCCAAAAAAGAGCTAGAACACAGCTCTGACACCATTGAGAGTTCCGATATAAAAGGACACTTGAACTTCCGAGAAGACATTTTTCTATTGTCGGTAGATTGTTTTTATTTTTAAGATGTGTAGGGGAATAATAGCCACATTTTATCTGTAACAGTATGAACTTAATGTCTCAGTTTGTCTCTGGTCCTCATTAACATTACACCCAGATGGAAATTGATTGGGAGATTGACAGCAGGGTCTTTTTCTGTCTATAAAGTCATTGTCATAGGGATCCACTGCACAGAAAAAGTCCATGATGTCCATACCAGTCAAAAACAACCACCTAAGTATTCTAATCCCATTTACCAGCGCTTGGCCCGTTGCCTTTGTGCACTAGCGATGCCAGGGCATATATCTAAATACTTCTTAAAAGCTATGGGGTTTCTGCTTCAGGCAGTGAGTTCCAGATTCCCACCACCTTCTGAATGTAAAAGTTTTTCTTCACATCTCCTCTAAACCTTCCCATTATTTTAAATCTGTGCCCCTGATCATTAATCCCCCCTATCTAGGGGAAAAGTTTCTTCCTGTTTACTCTGTCTGTTGCCCCTCATAATTTTATACATCTCAATCATGACACCTCTCAATCTCCTCTGCTCTATGGAAAGCAATCCTAGTCCATCCATTCTGTCTTCATGACTGAAGCTCTCCATCGCAGGCAACATCCTGGTAAATCTCCTCTGCACCCTCCCCATTGTTCTCACATCTTTCCTATAATCTGAATTCCAGAAATGCGCACAATACTGTAGCTTTGACCTCACTCAATTTTTATACAGTTCCAACATAACATCTCTGCTGTTAAACTCTATGCCTCGACTATAAAGGCACGTATACCATATGCCTTCTTAACCACTTTATCCATCTGGCCTGATACCTTAAGAGATCAGTGTACATGCACACCAGAGTCCTTCTGATCCTTGGTTCTTCCCAGGGTCCTACCGTTTATCATATATTCCTTGTCTTATTTGTCCTGGCCAAATGTATTACCTCATATTTATCTGGATTGAATTGCATTTGCCACTGATCAGCCCATCTGACCATATTGTCAATATCCTGTTGTAAGGCCATCCTCCCTTTACTTACCATCGCACCAATTTTTTTGTATCGTCTGTGAACGTACTGATCAACCCTCCCACATTCAAGTTTAAATCATTTATATAAACCACAAACAGCAAGGGCCCCAGCTCTGACCTCTGTGGAACCCATGGACGCAGACTTCGAGTTGGAAAAGCCCCCCTCAACTATCACTGTCTGCTTGCTGCCACTCAGCCAGTTGTGGATCCAGTTTGCCAAACTTCCCCTTTACTATCAACTTCCCATATGGGTCCTTATCAAAAGCCTTGCTGAAGGCCAAGTAGACTACAACAAAAGTATTGACCAGTTCAATTCCTTCACTGCATTGATATGATGAATTTTGCAACAAGCAGGGGATTGAGAGATGTATTGTTTATTTGAGGCTGACTGCCTGAACCTACCTCCTGTTCCAGGAAATAATGCCATGGTTTCACAATTCTTGGATCATAATGAGTCATAAGATGTGAAGAAATGAGCTTATTTTCTGCACGGTCTGTTGAAGATAACATAAGTTTTGCTCTGCGAACCTTGGTTAATTTCTTTCTAACCTTGACATAGGTGCACAAGAAAGATTCTGGGTTCTGGCGAGATTTTGGATTTGGGATGACTTGTCAATATCGCTCCGATTTCCTCACTATTGGTAAGTGAGCATAGTTTTTGTGTTGTGGTTCATTCCTTGTTGTGGGAGTTGTTCACCTGTCACTTATATCGGTGACTGTCAGGTAGGGGCGATCCTCACTCCGAGTGAATGGGCAGCACTGTTGGTGCTTGGGAGTGAATTGTTTGAGGTAAGAAGGTGTTCGGCAGCTGAATCAACTTCACTGAGAACTCGATGCTAGTCGATACCATGCTAGTCAGAGGACACTTGAGATGTTAAACTAAAGTCCCACCTGCTAATGAGGACATGAAAGATCATATGACCAGTATTTAAAAGAAAGCAGCGGAACTTTCCCCCTTGTCCTGGCCAAAGCTCAAATCAAACAAAATTATCCGGTCATGATCTCATCATTGTTTTGTTGGACCTTGTGTGGAAATTGGCAGTTGTATTTCCTATGTTACAACTATATAAGTGCACGTCATTCTTTTCTTTTTATCTCCCAGTATGCTTGATATTGTGTCTTTGCACTGTTTTTAGTACAATTACATGCAATCAACTCTTCCCGTGACATCTGACACACAGATGTTAGTCCAAGTGTCAGCTCACAATTAAAGATAGTTCATTGGAAACCTATCCACTAAGACAAAATACACAAGGAATTTGTAATCTTGACTGCACAGCTGGAATGTAGATACTGAATGTAGATTGGTGAGCACAGAAGCATAGCAGGGTGCTGCCATCATATTGAAGCTCAAGTGCAATGTCATGGGACAAGGAGCCATAGACTTGATCACATGTTTATGCCTGGAGATTCCATCCTCTGCTTTGCTGATATTCTGTTCAGTTAGACCTGGTTGGACAGCGGTCTCTGGATCTTTAAATAGGAGGCCACCTGACCCATTGGCCTATGCTGACTCTTTGTACTTCAGCCCACTTTCGTCCTCAATCTCCATTAGCCCGCAAGCTTTGCATCATAATTGTTCATTCGCTTCCCTTTTGTTGCGTTATTGAATTTGTTTCCTCCACCCTTTAAGACTGCATCATCTTGGATTATAGGCAGGGATCAGCAGTAAAATCCACAGTGTTCACTGTCACCTATTCTCCAAGCTTGCCTCAACTGTTCTTAAAGTGAGAACTCTAGTCAAACCTCACTTCAGAACTTGTGTGCACAGCCCATAACCTAGTCTAACAGTCCATTGCAATCTTAATTGGAAAACCACACTATTTCAGTTTAAACCAAGGACGTGATTTGCTGTTCCTCCCAATATCGTGCTTTACCAGTCAAATAAGCGCAAAAGAATACTCCGATATCTTGACCAACAATCCCATCCCGCTCCCACCATTCCCCTGGTGAATGTAATTCACTAATTGTGGGATTTTGTCCTCAAAATACTCCCAGCTTTGTTTTCACAGTGTTTTGAAGTAGCATTTTTGGGTGGAATATGACAAGACATTAGATGAACACAAATTCTTTCTCTTCACAGGCGGCTTTGACCTGGATGTGAAAGGGTGGGGAGGGGAGGATGTCCACCTGTACAGAAAGTATCTCCACAGTGACCTGATCGTGGTGCGGACACCTGTCTCCAGCCTCTTCCACCTGTGGCACGAGAAGCATTGTGCAGACGAGCTGACCCCAGAGCAGTATCGCATGTGCATTCAGTCAAAAGCCATGAATGAGGCCTCCCAGGCTCACCTTGGGATGCTGGTGTTTCGAGATGAGATCGAGGCCCATCTCCGCAAACAAGCCTACAGAACTGACAGCGAAATTCCTGATTGAGTCGGAGGTCTTTGCTGTTTGGCCTGTTCAGACTTTCACATTTGCGGTCTTTGGGTCAGGACCTGTTGTGTTTAATAACGGGACCGCAGATGACAAAATATTGTATTACATTGTGCTGTTGCAGTGCTCAATTAATGGCCCAAAATGCGCTGAGGAGTTTACACATCTCCAAGGAGTTCAGCGTTGTGTTGCCATTTGCTCTCACAATACAAGTGTATGAGAGATCCCAGATACTTAGGAGTTTCTTGAGTGTTGGGGGGAAAGAATTTGCCACTTCAGGTATTTCTATCCTTCATGTGAAGGGTGTTCACCCTTGTGCTTGCCCTGGTCTGTCGCCTCAAGTGATGTTCACACTGTTGTTTGAGTGATGGGATACACTTGGTTCAGGAATTTCCAGGGTTTCGGTGTGAACTGACAGAATAATGACTAGTTATGGAACAGTATTAATCTTCAGTGAATAGGACCACACATGCGCCATTTCTATGCTCACTCTTCATACTGCCACTTTCTTTCTGGCTGCCTGGGGGCCATTATGCAAAGCCTGGCAGGTGAAAGGCCAGTCAAGCCCTGGGAGCATCTCCTATGTGTATGTTGAGGCCAACTGAGCTCATCTGCTTCTATTATCGACTCTGGACCAAAAGACATTGTATTTGACCCCAAGTGAAGCACATCATGCACACTGATACCAAGAGAGTGCTGCAATGCTGGGGGTGCTGTTCTTCATATGAAATGTTCAATCAGTGCTCCGTCCCATGTTATTATTTCCAAGATGAACAAAGGTCTTCTCCCGTTGTCTTGCCCAAAGTGTCTCTCTCTTTTTCTCTCTCAACCAACACTCGTAAACAGATTGACTGATATCAGTATTTCGAACACAGAATCATTGGCATTTTTATCCCACAAGGAGAGAATACTACTGTCTCAGCAGGAGTTATTAAGATCAAGGGAGAAAGAGACCCCACATTATTTTTAACTTCAATAATTGAACTAAAATGTGAATGAAACAGTTAGTCATATGTCTCACCACTTCTAAGCTATTTCATTGTGTGTAACGTGCTTTGAGATGTTTCTGAGACATGATAAGTTGCTTGTTTGTTTTAATGGCTGTGTCTTCTACCCTCTGGAGCCCAGTTTAGCTTAGTTAGCTGGATGTCTGCTTTGCAATGCAGAGTACTGCAAATAGAGTGAGTGCACTAACGGGTTCTCCTCAATCTATTCCCTTGCCTTGAGCATGGTGACCCTCAGGTTAAACCATCACCAGTCGTCTCTCCCTAATGAGAGAGCAGCCCTTAGGTCTGGTAAAACTAATGGCAACTTTACATTTTGTCTTTTACCTTCTGCACATTTTTCTGTCCTCTTTTAAAGATTTGGGAATGTGCTTCTCCCACCCTCCCCCAAACATACGATGAGCATGTATTTCTACAATCCTGCAGAAAAAAAAACATGATTTTGGCACAATAATGGGCAAAACCTAGAGACTTGTGGGATGGAACCACAAGAGGTAGGAGATTTGTGGGATAAAAACAAAGTTGCTGGAAAAGCTCAGCAGGTCTGGCAGCACCTGTGAAGAAAAAGTCAGAGTTAATGTTTCGGTCCGGTGATCCTTCCTCTGGAGGGTCACCAGACCCAAAACGTTAACACTGACTGTTTCTTCACAGATGCTGCCGACTCTGCTGAGCTTTTCCAGGAACTTTGTTTTTGTTCCTGATTTACAGCATCTGCAGTTCTTTCGGTTTTCATTTAGGAGATTTGTGGTATTGGATTCTTAATTCAATTTTCAATTCCTCTATGTGTATTTGGTGTGTGTGAGCGTAGTGGGGAGGAGAGGCGATGGTCTGTGCAACAGAAAATTGTTCCAGCAGCAGAACTATCCAAATCTGCAATCATTTTGTCTAATTTATTTTGATTGATCTTCCATATCTAACCGTAAGGAAAACTGCCAACACGATGGCACTATAGATACTCACCTGTAAGATTCCTCTTCAACATGAAATCTCACCTAAAACAATACAAAAACACTTCTGGCACATACCTAAAATCATGGTTGAGGTGGCAGAGCTTCTAACCAATGTTACTTCTAAGCTCCGCAGCCACTCTAGGATTCTTCTGAGGTTCCACATGTGCCACCCGGTGTGCCAGCACATTGACTTCCTCTCTCAGAAGTCACTGCTACGCACAGACCTTGGAGGTTTGCACACCGAAAAAAAATTATAGGGAGTATTGCTTCTAGCTATCGAAAGTCGCAACTTTACTCAGGCTGTGGAGATGGGATGTATTTGTTTGCAGTTAGGCCAGCATTTATCACCGTCACTGCCTTGAAGATGATGTTTGTGAGCTGCTGCCTCGGGCCTCCACCATCCTTCAGGTGTAAGTACCCGCAGTTAAAAAGGCAGTTCCAGGATTTTGACCAGTGGTAGTGAAGGAACGGCGATATAATTCCAAATCAGGATGGGGCAACTTGGATTGGAACTTGCATGTAATGGTGCTCCCATGAGTCTTCTGCCCTTGTGCCTCTAGATGGTAGGATGTTGCAGGGCTGGGAAGACCTGTCAAAGGAGCATTAGTGACGTATTGCAGTGTACCTTGTCGATGCTATGCCCCATTGCCATTGTACATTGCGGTGATGTGGCGTCTGAATTTGAAGACGTTCGATAGGTACTCCTCTATTGAACTACTTTGTGCTTGATTTTGTTGAGCTTCTTCATTGTTTCGGAGCCACGCTCATCCATAACTTATCACTTAGTGGTTTTTCAGACAGCCTAGGTGCAGAAATGAATGATGCTGATGGTTAGATCATTAAATCATCTTAACTTTCTCCAATTTAAATTGAATTTGAGGTCCCTTTACCAATTTTCCATTTGGAAAGCCACTAGCTATCGATAAATGAACAAACCCTTTCTTGACTGAATGTCAGGGTCAAGACTGGCAATGATTTATTGACTATAAGACCATAGTTTTCATTACTTGAATGATGTTTTGTAATGGGCAAACATTGTGGTATTTATAGATAATTATTTAGCAACTTGAGCAACAAATAGTTGTCCGTTATCTCACAAGATTAATCTCAGAAGTTGTAACGGGAGTTGACTTTATCGATGAACTTCAACATAGCTGAATACTAAATAATTGAGATGCCATTATGTGATTCACTCTGTTGAGTGTATAGCCAAAACTGGATAAATTATAGCTACGAACAGAGTTAACTAGCAGTCATGAATTGAATTGAATTGATCGAAGTTGTAGAAAAAGTTGAATTAGTTGGATCATTGACAATTAAATTATCATTAAGAGCACTGCCTGAGACTTTGCCAGAATTATGAAAGTATTTTAGGAGTAAACCTTTTGAGTTAACAAATTAATAGCATGAGGCAACCAGACTGTCAAACAGATCAGAGTCTTATCTGTGTACGGTTCCAGGAATCATACCACTTCATCCGTCTGAGCAACACAGTTGAGTTGAATACCTTACAACCACCACCTTCCCTTGTGCTGGAAGTGTTAGGTTCTGTAACATCAGGTTGATGAGCCTCTGCTGGACAGAGGTGTTGGCTGCACTCTGATCTCTGTGTCAGTGTCTGCTTTGCGCACAAACAATGACATCTGAGCTGGCTGGTTCAACTCTCAACCTCTGCAATACCTGACAGTTTGGACCGTTATGTGACGCACTGATTACTGCCTGTACCTAAGTAATTTGACCGTACAATCTGACTGTTCTAATTTTTTACGCCCTGCAGATATAATACGCTGTGCTTGTAAAAGCACCTGCCTACCTAGGGCGGCACAGTGGCTCAGTGGTTAGCACTGCTGCCTCACAGCGCCAGGGACCCAGGTTTGATTCCAGCCTCGGGCGACTGTCTGTGTGGAGTTTGCACATTCTCCCCGTGTCTGCGTGGGTTTCCTCCGGGTGCTCCAGTTTCCTCCCACACTCCAAAGATGTGCAGGTTGGGTGGATTGGCCTTGCTAAATTGCCCATAGTGCCCGGGGATGTTCAGCTTAGGTGGGTTATAGGGGTATGGTTCTGGGTTGGATGCTCCAAGGGTCGGTGTGGACTTGTTGGGCTGAAGGGCCTGTTTCCACACTATAGGGAATTCTATGATACCTCTTTTAGGTAAAGGACACTCCACAGTTAAGCGACAAGGAGAATTTTCTAACTAGCAACTGATATCAAAGGCAAAGGTAATCTTTACCAAGTCAGGTTTGCTCTTATACATCTTAAATTCATAGAAAATTCCCTTTCCATTCACCTGAAAGATCTAGGTGATGCATGTAGCAACAGGTTGCATCACATATAGCCCATAATTTTGAACAGGAAAAGTTTCTGAAAGATATCAGTGTTAATGAGGTACAGATGCCTTGGCATCAAACTACTTTTTACTTCCCTAAGTTTCCAATCTTCCTTTAACATTGACCAGAAAATGTGTTTCATTGTCACGTGGTTTTAATTAGATTCCATTTCCTAGTATCTTTTTAACTACTGACGCGATGGGCTGTCCATTTTTACTGAACTTCACTTTAGGAAAGTAGTTCACTTTCCCAACACCATTTAATAATAACGGCTGCAGGGATCAGGCAGAGATGTGGCTGGTAGAGACAGGCTGGTTCGATCCTGATAATCTGTCACTTTTGTTTGATTGGGAGGCAAGTGGTGAAATGAAACACAGATCTCGGGTGCCACCCAACTGTATCCTCCAACAGAGGGCTACATTTCAAGTCTTACACGTGAGTATAAATAACAATTATCCTTTCAATGTGAGCTGACAAGCATTGGGATAGCCCAATCATACTCCTTCCTAACTCCATCCCAAAGTTACTGAGGCTATGACCATTTATTACATTTTGGTATTTCCACAGGAATTGGTTATATAGTCAATGAGATATACAGCACAGAAACTGACCCTTCGGTCCATTTTGTCCATGCAGACCAGATATCCTAAATTAATCTAGTTCCATTTGCCAGCATTTGGCCCATATCCCTCTAAACGTTTCCTATTCATGTACCCATCCAGATGCCTTTTAAATGTTGTAATCGTACCAGGCTCCACCACTTCCTCTGGCAGCTCATTCCATACATGCACTACCCTTTGCATGAAAATGTTGCCCATTAGGCCCTTTTAAATCTTTCCCTTCTCACATTAAACCTGTGCCCTCTACTTTTAGACTCCCCTACCCTGGGGGAAAAAAGACCTTGACTATTGGCCCTATCCATGTCCCTCATGATTTTATAAATTTCTATGAGGTCACTCCTCAGCATCTGACATTCCAGGAAAAATAGCCCAGCCTATTCAACCTCTCCCTATAGCTCAATCCCTCCAACCCTGGCAACATCCTTGTATATCTTTTCTGAACGCCTTCAAGTTTCACAACATCCTTCCTATAGCAGATTGCTCATGTTCATTTTTATGTAAATAATCTAATAATTCAAATGTGTTTTCATTGCACCATTAACAGAAGCAAATGTGTAGGTTCAGTTAAATGGAGGTTTGCCTGAATTACTGAGAGCTCGTTTGCTGTCTCTCAGGTTGGTATTATCTCTGTGCCCTGCTTCCAATGGAATATTTGTTCAGTATTAAAAGCACAGGTGCGGAAATGTTCAGACAGCCCCTAACTAATGACCTTGTTTTGGTCCAGTTTGTCTTGGTTGCTTTTGTACAAATACAACATTACATTTGTGGATTTGTCATAAAGTATGTATGTAATTTCTTGAGCCAATCATGTTCGTGTGGTCAAATCATTAACGGACCAAGCTTTTGAGATTAATATCTCATGGTTTCTTGAAGAGTTAAAGAAAGTATGACTTTTGGGAGAATGAATCATTGAATTCATTCAGTACAGTATTGCACAAGGCTTGATTGTTCTCATGATTCAGGGGGAGGGTAGCAATATTGCCTTTCAGAAGCAACCTGATTTAATCTCCCTCCATTCCCAACTGGTTGGTTTAATGTTTACCACTATGTATTGAGGTTAGAACCATTCACAGGCTCCAGTTACAGGGTGCTGATGCAAAGGCTTGGGGAAAGGGTGGGGAGAGTTTATTCATATGAACGATATCTATAAGGTAGATGAAATTCCCTGGAGACTCACTGTGCTGCTAGAATGAGAATCATGCAAGTGGAAACATCTTCTCCCTGGTACTTTTGCCTTGGGGCCTCCTTCAAAGCTTTATGTAACAACAGTGTCCTGTTTGTACCCACTGTGTCTGAAGATGAATTATGCTCTGAGGTATGGTTACATTCTTTCATATGCCCCTTACAGTCTCACCCACATTAACTAGGGAAAGTAATGTTTAAGAGTGGCTGAGATTGCCTTCTCAATAAATACTGAAGCACTGTGTGCATTGTGTTGTCTTTTACTTGGTCCTGCAAAATACTAAAGTACAGATGGTTTTGGGGTTACTTGAGGGTCATGTAGTACAACCTGCAAAGAGCAATGTGACTGACTGGAGGGTCTGTTCAAAGCACCCAGATTTACCTCCTGAACTTCGGCTGAACACGCATGAAGAATTAACCGTTCAACTTTGTTTAGTACAGATTAGGACCTAGTGCAATGAATTGGAGCTTCCAGTGTATGTTTCTTCCTCATCTGTTGATCCCCTTTCTCTGCCCACTTTCTGTCTCTTTTGGCACAGTGGCTTGGTGGTTAGCACTGCTGCCTCACAGCGCCAGGGACCCAGGTTCAATTCCATCCTCAGGTGATTGTCTGTGTGGAGTTTGCACATTCTCCGGGTGCTCCAGTTTCCTCCCCCAGTGCAAAGAAATGCAGGTCAGGTGGATTAGCCATGCTAAATTGCTCATAGTGTCCAGGGATATGCAGGCGAGATGGATAAGCTGTGGGAAATGCAGGATACAGGGATAGGGTAGGGAGGGTGGGTCTGGATGCGATGGTCTTTGGAGGGTCGGTGTGGACTCAATAGGCCAAATGAGATGTTAAACTGAGTCTCCATTGGTCCTCTCAGTGCTTGTTAGGATCCTGCAGCACTTTTGAATAAGTTTGAGGAGTCCTACTTGATGTCCTTTTTGATTTCTCCTTTAAAGAATATTGAAAAAATGATCTGGTCATCATCGCATTGCTATTTTGGGAGCTTGCTGTGTGCAAACCGGCTGCTGACTTTCCAACTAAAAGTAAGTTGTTGGTTGTAAAGTGCTTTGGGATCTGGGCTTTGGTACACGGGTTACCAGTGAGAAATTTCTCGGCCAAGGGGATTGTAAGGAGTGGGGCCCATAATGGAAAGAGAAACCACTGGGGCTAAATATAAAGGTGGCTGAACCAATGGTCTTTTAAGGGGCAGTGGGAGTTCACCCCAAAAGTAAGACACTCTGAGTGAGTCTACATAGGGAGGCTGGAAGTGACATGTTACTGTACCTGGCTCTGGGCTGCCAAGTCCCTCATGTCCACATATTACCCCACCCTGTCCTTTTAATACTGTTTGGTCAACTGGGCTCTGCAGAGGTGTCAGTGAATTTTCTGGCACCCCTCCTGTGTAAACAGTGAAGACCACTCACAAAGACTCCCAAACAACAATGTTCTATCTGTATCTCTTTGTATAAATAGGATTGTACGATAAAGGCGGACATTTAAAAATAACTTTGCAATCCACGTGTGCAAATTGCACATAATAATTCATAATGATACCTTCACTTTCTAATTTCCTACCTTAGTACAGTGTAGGATAAGTATTAGATATTGTTGGTGTGACTATAACTTACTTATCCATACATTTTTGGGCGAAAAATTGGCTTTAAAGCATTGTGGAATCCAGAGGTTAGCAAAAGCACTGCACAAAAGATCACATAATTATATCTGGAATCCTTCGTCGATATCGTGAGAGTTAAAAGTTGCAAGGGTTCAAGAACTGAACAACCATCCTTAAAACACATCTTTGCATGGAACTGGACAGATGGTTCAGCTGCAAATGATAAGAGTTGCCAGGAGGGGGAGCTGGCATGCTACACTAAAGCATCCCAGTTGAGCCTGTATCAATTCTATTGTGGTGTGTGTAAGGTAATGGTTCTGAAAGTGTCAATGTTCATGTTACATTGAGCTCCACTGCTTGTACTAATGTCACATAGTCTGTGGGTGGAGACAGTGAGTTATACCTAAGCTTTTGGGAGATCGCAGATGTACCTGTCAGTTTCCGACTAATGTTCAGACGAAGGGTCACTGGATTTGAGACATTGACTCGGATTCTGTCTTTATGGATGTTGCCAGACTTGCTGGGCTTCTCAAGCACTTTCTGTTTTTGTTTCAGATTTCCAGCTTTTGCAATTTTTTTGTTTTATTGCCCTAGTAATGGTGTCTGACCAAATATAGTTGTACTTATCACTCTCATGCAATAAACCTTCTTCTTATCTAAGAACTGGGCCTCTTCTGTAAATGTTCAAGGTTGGTATGTTCTCTAACACTAATCACAAGATAGACCCAAGACAAAGCAAAATTGATGGCAGCGAACTTATGTCAAACATCTCTTATCCAGTACCGCACAATGAAAGATATGGCAAATACCAGAAGGTATCAGCAGTGATTAAAGGAGAAATTAACACAGGGACAGATCTTTCCTTTAATTTTTATATGGGATGTGGATGTCACTTGCAAGGCCAAGTCCCACTTGCCTTTTGAGCTGATGAGGGCAGTTAAGAGTCAACCATATTGCCTTGTGTCTGGAGTCACAAATAGGTCAGACTAGTTAAGAATGACAGATTTCCTTCCCTGTAGGCTGTTAGTGAAGCAGATGAGTTTTTATGATGAGTAGCAATGGTCATCATTAGACTTTGTTTTAATCCCAGATTTTATAGAATACAAATTTTACCATCTACCACATTGGGCTTTGATTGCATGTGCACAGAACATTAAGCTGGGGCTCTGCATCAACAGTCCAGTAGTATTTACAGAATGCCATCACCTTCCTCGTGGATATCCTGCATGTTCAGTGAACCCCGAAGCTCATCCTGGATGATCATTTTCTCTTTAATCTTTTTAATCTCTTCCCCTTGTTAACTCCTTTAAAGTAGTTTACCCCTCAGTCTTGACTTGTCCCAGGATCATGTTAGAGGATTGTCACGCTTTGCTGTTCGCAGTGTGGTATCTAATTATTAGCTCTCCCACGCCTATCGATGACAGACTGGGTCCTTAATTAAAGATTATCATCTTAACTTGCATCCAAAGCTGTTCTCTTATCATCCCTGTGTTTTCTGACCTGCTTTAGATCCTAGTCAAGCATTATCTTGGTTTTAAATTTCTTGACTTGTTCTCACCATTCTCCATGAATTTGCCTGTGCCTTATCTCTGTAATCTTTTAGAATCACACAAACCACTGAAGTATCTGCACACCACTAATTCTGTCCCCTTGTAGTAGCTTCACCATTGGTGGCCATGCCTTTAGTTGCCTTAACACCAAGCTCTCCACCTCACTTTCACCTTTTGAAACATTACTTAAAGTCTATTCTTTGAATGTGTGATGGTCATTTGGCCTAATGTCACCTTTTATGTCAGAATGCTCCTGTGAAATATGTTAGGACATTGCAATGAAAGGTGCATCATAAGATCATTGAATCCCTACAGTGTGAAAGCAGACCATTTGGCCCACTGAGCCCACACTGACCCTCTGAAGGACATCCCACCCAGACCCACCCCACTACCATCTCCCTGTAACCCTACATTTAGCATGGCCAATACACCAAATGTGCACAACTTTGGTCTGTGGGAGGAACACAGACACAGGGAGAACATACAAACTTCACATAGACAGTTGCCTAAGGGTGGAATCGAACCCAGGTCCCTGGATCGGTGAGGCAGCAGTGCTAACCACCGTGCCACCCTAGCTGGATATATGTTGTCATGGGAGGAATTAATATCAGCTTGGTTAAAGTGCCTGTTAGTCTGTCAGTGCTGTTCACACATCCCTTTCTTATCTCTCTACACACATACAATAGCCAAGAATGATAATAGCTTCACTCACAACACATCCTTGCAGCCTGATCATCTCACTGCACAGCTTTTCCGCCCAGTATTGGAAAAAGCTGAGGGGTGTAGGCAAGGGAGAGGCTGAAGGAGTCAACACTAGTTATCAAAGTGACATTGCAACAAGATAATACAGCTTAGTAATAAATTTTGACAATCTGGCATAATTTGACATTCTGAGTTTGTATCTCACACAGGAGGGGTTTGAGGACTGATGATATTATTGTAATCAAGGGAAAGGGAGGCTAGAAGTGTCTAATGGGCATATTTGAATTATGAAAATATTTGACAAGTTCAAAATAGAGGATGTATTTCTTCTGGGAAATTCCAAATGAGGTGTCATCTATACAACCCAGTCATTAATAAATCCAATGGGAAATTCTTTACCCAGAGAGTGGTGAGAAGTTGGAATTCACTATCATAGGAAGAGTGGTAGCAGTGAATAGTACAGATACGCTTAAGAGGATGCTGGATAAGGAGAGAGACATTGAGGCATTTGCTAATGCATTTTGCTGATGCTGGACGGCATGATGGCTCAGTGGTTAGCATAGCTGCCTCAGAGTCTAGGGAGAGATAGTAGGAACTGCAGATGCTAGAGAATCTGAGACAACAAGGCATAGAGCTGGATGAACACAGCAGGCCAAGCAGCATCAGAAATGGGGGAGGGGAAGGGGGGGTTCTGAAATAAATAGGGGGGGGGTGGGCGGATAGAAGATGGATAGAGGAGAAGATAGGTGGAGAGGAGACAGACGGGTCAGAGAGGCGGGGATGGAGCCAGTAAAGGTGAGTGTAGGTGGAGAGATAGGGAGGAGATAGGTCAGTCCAGGGAGGTCAAGGGGGTGGGATGAGGTTAGCAGGTAGGAGATGGGGGTGGGGCTTGAGGTGGGAGGAGGGGATAGGTGGGAGGAAGGACAGGTTAGGGAGGCAGGGACGAGCTGGGCTGGTTTTGGGATGCGGTAGGGGGAGGGGAGATTTTGAAGCTTGTGAAATCCACATTGATACCATTGGGCTGCAGGGTTCCCAAGCAGAATATGAGTTGCTGTTCCTGCAACCTTCGGGTGGCATCGTTGTGGCACTGCAGGAGGCCCAGGATGGACATGTCGTCTGAGGAATGGGAGGGGGAGTTGAAATGGTTCGTGACTGGGAGGTGCAGTTGTTTAGTGCGAACCGAGCGTAGGTGTTCTGCAAAACGGTTCTCCAAGCCTCCGCTTGGTTTCCCCAATGTAGAGGAGGCCACAATGGGAACAGGGGATGCAGTACACCACATTAGCAGATGTGCAGGTGAACATCTGCTTGATGTGGAAAGTCTTCTTGGGGCCTGGGATGGGGGTGAGGGGGGAGGTGTACGGGCAGGTGTAACACTTCCTGCAGTTGCAGGGAAAAGTGCCGGGTGTGGTGGGGCTGGAGGGGAGTGTGGAGCGGACAAGGGAGTCACGGAGAGAGTGGTCCCTCCGGAAAGCAGATAAGGGTGGGGAGGGAAAAATGTCTTTGGTGGTGGGGTCGGATTGCAGATGGCAGAAGTGTCGGAGGATGATGCATTGGATCCGGAGGTTGGTGGGGTAGTACGTGAGGACGAGGGGGATTCTTTTTTGGTTGTTATTGCGGGGAGGGAGTGTGAGGGATAAGTTCCGGTTGTTGGGGTGGAAGGTGTTGGTGAAGTGGATGAACTGTTCGAGCTCCTCGTGGGAGCACGAGGTGGCGCCGATACAGTCATCAATGTAACGGAGGAAAAGGTGGGGTTTAGGGCCAGCGTAGGTACGGAAGA